GGTGGTCAGGCTGGATCGGTAAATAAATGGACCGGGGAGGGCACGATGACACACCGCTTGTCCCCAGCGGGCGGCATCAGGGAGAGAACATCCCCAAAAGCACCTGTCCCAGAACCAGCAGCCGTCGGGTTTCATGCGGCAGGGCAACGGGCCTCGCCCAGGTGGGAGCTCTCCTCCCTGTCCTCTGTGAGGAGAGCGAGCAGCCCCGCGGACACGGAACACCATTAACACCCAGGGAAAAAAGAGACTTGGTCTTTAAATGCCTGTGGGCTTACAGACCAGTTTCAAGCACTGCTGCACTGAGAAACATAACAGTACTTTCCGTATCGCTATGAGGAAAAAGGAAAAGAAAGGTAAGGCTTAGCAATAACTACACACCTTATGATTTAGTCTATTGACCTAAAGCCTTCAGTCGTTTATGTAAGTTCTGCTGCAAATATGCAAGCGAATAATCCTGACCTAATCATAACCCTCCTGAAGTTTACCTCAGCAATACACAAAAAAACCCAAACAACCCCACAACTTTAAAAGACACTTTTCAAACTAATGCCACTTTGCTTCATGTTGAGAAAGCTAAGTTAAGAGAGTAACAATTGGAATTCAAATCAAATTTCAAATGACTGCATTTGAAGAAGCAAATTAAGAACAATATAGCTTAGAAGGGACTCTGGAGGCCATTGGGTCCAACCCCTGCTCAGGCTGCATGGGGCTGATGCTGAATTTGCAGCAAGAAGGTCAAAATTTAACACAGAAGAAACTATGTAAATATCTGTCAAGGTTTAAAAGAAGACTTGTCTTGGTTTTGGTAGATAATGACTGAACAAAGGCCAAACGGCCCCAGGGGAGGAGGATAACATCCTCTGACCAAGGATATGTATCTTGTCAGAAGTGGGCAATGAAACTAACTTTTAAGGTGTCCTTGAAGTGAACTGCCTTCATTACAATATGAAAAATCACATCCACAGGTTAAAAAGACTCCAGCCCAGGTGAAGACCCCTCCTCTGAGCATGCATAGTGATTAGAAGGAATGACAAAGAAAATATGGTATGTAGATTACTGAGCAACCATTGTGACTAGGAGTGTACTAGCTTGTAACTTTTGTGTATAAATGTAATGAAGAAGCAGGCACCAGGTGTGCTTAATTTGCAGAAATGCACCAGCGAGGACCCTGCAAAGGTTTAGACCCTCTAAATAGGCTGAAGAGCGTGTTCTGAGAGTTCTTTCAAACAGGCAACAGTGCTCAGTACACTCAAGTCCGGAAAAGCTCCAGGGATGGAGCTCCCACAGACAGCCCCTATGGGTTCCCCTCCTGCCCTGTCAAAACTCTTATGGCAGCTAATGGCAATTCCGCTGATGCTGCCTGTGGCCATTTCCACTCATCCTTTCACCGTGCAGCTTCAGAAGAGTCTGACTCATATCTCTGTAATCACTCATTAGGTTGCTTAAAGACAGCAATCATTTTGCCCTCTTAATATTCTTCTTTTTAGGCTAAAAAAACCCCATTAACTGACAAAATACACTTTACTTGCTAGTTTTCAGTTTACAGTACCATTCCTCATTGTTCAAAACACTAGTACAGCAGCAAGAATATGATGGAGAGAAAGCAAAGGCATTATTTACAACACTGCCACAAATAACAGTTTCCCATAATCACCTGTTCAGAGCTTGTATATTACACATAATATTAGCACTGGGGGTAAAATTAGATGAACTGATTTGTTTTAAACTAAGCGTTTGGAAACAGGACAAAATAGTACAATAATTTCTAGCTAGTTTAGAGCAATTGTTTAATTGTTTCATATACGTAAACCCAAAAAATTGGCACTAACATCTTTGTAGTTTTTTCATTAACACAAAAATACTGCATTAAATACAATGTTAGGGAAATGCACAAAAGCATTCAGTTAAGGCTTCTGCAGATATTAGATGTTTAATTACAGAACATGCATTTTGTAAACTTGTTTAAAACTTTCCAAGTAACTGGACAAAAAAGCTCAGTTAAACTCATATTCCATTGTGAGGCCCAGTGGAATGAAAAGTACTTTTTTAAATAGATAATTAACCATCAAATTGCTTTTTAAGTCTGATTTTAAATGGCAACCTCAAACCTCATACATTTAGAAATATATATATGTAGACCCTCCAAAAAAGATACACTGGAAAGGCAAGGCAGGTTTGAAATATTGATCCCATTAAGTTCATTAACTTAATCCCTGCTCAACCATCTAAACAAAGTACTGTATTTCACAATGAGAATTAATCTGGCTCTTGGCTAGCATCACTTTGTCCAAGGGATACTTGGAAGGCCAATTCCTAGTAATCATGTCAGCAATGATATTATTGAAGTTTTTCCTGTACTGATGTGACAACTTAGCACAATTTTGCCAAGCTCCATACCTTATGGGCAAAATTAGACTTTTTACCATGCCAAGATGACAGAAATGTCAAGCAGCAAAGAAAAGCTATAGGACAATTCAAATCAAACACACCACATCTGGAGGAAGTGTTGTGGCAACCTTCATGGGAACACTAAGTAGTGTCTCATCCCCCATCTCTTACAGCCAAATCATGGCAGGAACCTCCAGTGCAACACCCTGAACCTCTCCATTTTAATGTACAATGCAGTGCCAGCAACAATCTAGCTCTACAGTTTTCCAAAGATACTCAAGAGCCATAACAACTTACAAAAAGGGTTAACAGCTCCTTCCTACAACAAAGAGAATGGCCTAGAACACAGCCAACAGCTGTGAAATATCTTTTAATTCTAGTAGAACTCTTTCTTTTTCCCCCTGCTTTCAAGATTACCACAACATTTAAAAAATATTATCAACACTGAATTTTTTAATTAAGATATCTGTATGGGTGTAACAGAATTCAAGTACTCAATAAGGCAACAGTTGCCCTAGTTATTGATGTTCCAACCTTGTTCTAAAGCAACTCAGGTAACCGCACAGAAAGTTACTGGTGCTTTAACATCCCCCTTCAAGTCTTTTATCTGGCTACTCCTAACTTCACTACTAGAAAGTACAACAATTCCCCAGGGAACGTTGTCGCTTTTTTGTGACAACTGCACACCCTTTACAACCACACTTAGACATACACATAAAAAAAACCCCCAACAATGCAAAATCGGTATGTATTAAATAACATACACAAATAGCTTTGGGGCTTTAGGTAGTACTTTCTTGAGAAAATGGTTTCAAACTAGCTCTTGTCTGTCTACTGAGGAGATTGTTTCATCCTGCAGTACATCTGTATTTAGTGACATCTGCAGTACTTTCATTTTGCCACTTTCACATAAAAAAGATGTTGGCTATAATAATCAGAAAGCACCAACTGCACTACTACTGCATCACTACATAGAAGGTGGGTTGCTACAGAGTTTTTGTTTTGCTTTAGAAAGCATTTTCTTACAATTTTAGGAAGAAGTTTCTCATTCCATCCTAACAGAGAACTAACATCCTTTTGAGGGAAAATCAATCTCCATCAAAATACATAGAAGTAGGAACATTTTTAACATTTGCAAAATCCAAATTTCTTTGGAAAGAGCAGTGAATAAAACTACTGAGAAGGAAAAACCAGAATACTATCCCTGTGAACGATGGCTTTGTAATAGTCATGCGCCCTGACTGTCAAGAAATTATGTATATCCTGTTGGCAACCCAAAACCATCCTGCTTGATTAAAAGATGTTATATAGGTATTAATTAATTGACCAAACTGTTGCAACATTTAAACTTCTCTTTCTTGTATCTACATCAATTTGAAAGAACTTTTTATCATCAAGATCTTTCATCAAGAGAACTAAATGAAGAAAAATAGTGTCCTCTTTTAAGGAATTATTAAACAAAATCCCTGATGATCCAATCTCTTATTCTAGCAAATACTTTTAATGACAATCAAACCCAGATTATCTTATGCTTACTCACTCTATGGGTTTTATATTTACTGTTTTCCTATAATTTTCCTCAGATTACTTTCTTTGTAAAATTTGTTTTAATCTCTAGAGAATATTTAACCAAAACAGGTAAGCTAACTGCTATCAGCGTTAGTAACAAAAGCAGGCTCCTGAAGACTGTACAGCAGTCAAAAAAAGCACTGAGTACCTGATCTTCTGCATCCATATAGTTTCTTTGGCTACATAGGTAACAGTATTTACAAAATCACCTTGACATTCCACACTAGAGATAATCTACTTTCTAAAATAAAAAGCAAAAGTATAAAAGTTTTCAATCCCATTTGGAACTTGTAGCATACATAAAAAGACCAAAATCAAATATACAATATAAAAATACATTTTTCTTCTTTATGAAAGTTATAATACATGGCTATAATACACAACATGTTGAACCATCAGTCACAGCTACAACATTTTCAGGTGCTTGTTCCGCATTATGGCTGGACTCGTGGTAAGCTATCTCCCTGAGGAAATTCCTTGATTTCATCATGAAACATCAGTTCTAAAAGAGAAAGAAAAGAATTATGTTTTCTTTTAAAAGTTTCACCTGAATATGATTTCATTACTCCTGAAAAGTGCTATGGCATTCCCCCAAGCCTCCTGCTTTTAATCCCAATCATAATATCAACAACTCAGCAAGAAAGGGCCACCACTGTCTACTAAGTTTTGACTGCATCAGACTCAAGAAGGAAGATCTTTGTTCAGAGACTCATTCATTTATGGATTATCTTCTCTGTGTATCACAGGGTAAGTTAGCAACATAGAACCTGGGATAGAGAGAATCATGAATGATGCTGCTCACAACTAGCTGTCATCATCACAGCTCAGCTACAGGAGACAGCCTAAAGTCAGCAGTGAAGAGGTCCTGCAGAGGAATTTGACTAGGCACACTAAGTAGCTGATGAGGTAGCCCTTGTGGAGCTCTGTGATGCTAGGTTAGAGTTTTCTCTAGAAAAGGGTTCTCTAGAACCCTTACATATCTATAATGCACCCTCAGCATTTGTGTACTTTCTGTCTTGCTAACAGCACATTCAGTGTACAGATCAGGCTGTGTTTGCCAGCAACTTATCGACATGGTAAAGTTACACAATCTGTACAAGCAACTATGTGGTATATCCCTTCAAGTTGGAGATTCTCATGTTTCTTTGCTACTCATCCTTAGTAGACTAAAGCCTGCAGTTTCCTTTCTCTAGTCTCTGGGATATGTCCTAACAGAATTTCTCTCAAAATTTCTGAAGCGGGTTTTCTAATCTTAGTAGGCACACGTAAATATCAAACCTGAGTTAAATACTGGCTTCCTTGAGTAAGTCTTTATTTTTTAAAGAAAGGGTTTTAAATACAATTTAAGCATCTGCTATACATTTTACTATTAAACATTGTAAAGGCTGCCACCTAGCTGTTACTTGTTGTTTTTTTTTTAACTCATTGAGTTACAGAAACAAGCAGATAACTGGGGCCAGGTGAAATACAGAAATCTGTACATTAAAATTCTAAAGTAACGTGAAGAAGGATGCTGGACCTTCTTTAGACTCCCAAATATAAATCTGTGCTTCAGCTCATGACAGTGTTTGACTTGTAAATTGAAACTTGTGATTCTTATGTACAGCATACCTTCATGTCACAAGCTGCATGCACTTGATAGGAAAGCTGACTTAGGATACACCAGTCCCACAGTTGGGACAACAAAAGAAAGAAGGCCTAGTCTCTAGTAAATCTTCTTCTAAGAAAAGGGGATAACATGCTTGCCCCCTCCAGCCTGGACCAACACAAGTAGTCTTCATTTGATGTCCTGTTCTGCAAGCACAAATGCTCAGGAGTTCCCAAAACTACTGCAGTGTTCTATTGAAAATAATACTGAACTCGAAACACATTCAGCATTTGCAAAAGAAACATTAATAACATTAGGGAATTTTCTAAAACACAAGAAGAATAAATTATTTTAAATATTCAAAATACCATTACAGTAAAAATTACTTTTCCCTTCAATGAAGAAGAGACATGCTCTCTCATGTTTCAAAATACATGTTGCTTCAGCCAGGACTTAACAAGGCTTTTCTTTCCTTTGTAAATTACTGGGTTTTCTTCGTAAAACCAAACACAGACACCAGCATCCTAAGAAGTGCTTGCTTTGTAAAGTTGCTAGGAGATGCTTGTTTTACCTCAGCCACAAGATTTCTCAGAAACTAGTCTTGAACACCAAACAGAGAGCACAGCAGACAGAAGCCTGAACAAACAACATTTTGCCTATTAAGGTTTCCTACCTTCACTGTGGTCTAGCTCTGGTCGGTAAGACAAGAAGATCCAACTTGTCCCAACTAGAATAGACACTACCAGGTTCACCACAACCCACGGCTGAACAATTTCTTGCTCTGTACCTGCCGTCCTAGGAAAAGCACATCAGCCTATCAGTCAAAGGTTTGCTGGTACATAGGTTACAATAATAATTTCAATAGAGTATCATAAAAACAAGCTTGCTAAGCCAGACATGAAAACAGAACTACTTGTACCATAGACTACATGGGGGGGAAAAAAAAAAAAAGGAAAAAGGAAAAACAGAATACTTTTACTACTTGTAGAGATAAAGACAGGACTCAGCTAAGAAACCCCATCTCGTAGAGAATCTCCTGCTTGTAGATTGATTTCAACAGCAAATTCCTTTCCTTGGCCAAGAGACAGAAAATAAAAATCAAAATGCATGGTGGAATTTTACTGTGGTGAAAGACACTGCACAGTGTTGTCAGTCAACCTTATTTTTAAGCATTTCTTCATGAGGCATGAAGGCAAGTGAACAGCATGTCAGTAAAGTCTGTCTGGAAGCTGGTACAAGCACTTGTGTACAAGTGTGTGGGGTGGATGAGATAGGGCTTCAAAAAGGTTATGATTTAAGTTAGCTGACAGTTCTCTTACAGTTGTAACAGCAGGTTGTGTTTTTTCTGCTGGAATCTAGGCTAATAACTCAGTAAACATTTATAGAAGCCCTTAACAACAAAAAAAAAAAAAACCAACAAACCCCTCTAACTGCCCAAACCAGCAAATCTTCAGTATCTACTTCCAAAAGTAATAGTTTTGGATGGGATCTCCTGGCATGAAACAATGCTTCATATTTAATACCAGTTGTGTCTGCTAAGCCATGTATCCTGTGGTAAACATACCACTTTTTCTTAATACAATGACATTTGTTTCTTGGGACAGATTGGATTATCTCCTTCAAAAAGCACTGACTTTCTACAGAATGTCCTGGCCTTGAACACAAAAGGGTTACCTCAGTAGGGTCTTATTTCTTCAGCAAAAGAGATTGCTAGGGTTCCTGCCAGATGACATTTTCAGCATTATTCCATCAGGCTCTTGTATGAGGTATAGATTTGCAACCAACAGGATCGAACCCATCCTTAAGTCCTCTTTTTTAAGTGAAATTATCAACGATTCAGGACAAGCTCAGGCAAAGGCAGGTTTAGTAATGAAATCGTTCATTAATACGTTCTCATGTATGTTGAATAACCTTTTTGGACCACAAGTTTGACTAAGGTTCCTAAGTGAGATATGTTATAATTTACAGAAGTGATTGCTTAAATTTCCTACCAGATGCTGCCATTTTCTGAAGGTGGTGTATAGAGGTTAATTCTGTCACATGTCATCTGCTGGCTTAAGGATAAGATAAGGGCAGCAAAGTACACTGGAAGAAACGGAATTAGTAGTAGAATCAGTATTATTAGTATTAGTAGAATCAGATAAAACCCCCTAAAATGCTGACTCGACATGACAATTCTCTCTACATTTTCTTTCCTTTCACTCCACTGCCTCCAATAATAGTCTCCTTTAACTCATTCCCTCTTCGTCAACATTCCCCCAACCCATCAAAATCTGGTTTTTGCACTTTTGCAAGCCATCAGCTATGTCAAAGGTGGCATCTTGTGATTCTGTTTTTCGCTAGGTCTGTCTTCTGTATTCAGAGGTGGGAAAAGAACTATCTCAGAAATAGCTCCACTAATGCTACTACTGCAAATGCTTTAAAAAGTATGTAGCAAAGTGTTCATAGCCTTTGAATGCTATTTTGAACTACTGAGCGAGTCCCTTATTCTAAAGCAGAAAAAAACCAGGAAGATTTCCCTAAAACAATATGTAGAATTTTTCCATTTAGCATCCTTTCTGGACAACTTCCTGTCTGCTACAAAATACTTACAGAAAGAGGCTACTGCTGCTGGGTCTAGGGTAAGAAAGCCCCTCAGTGCAACTGATGCTTTTGCCAAATCAATCCTGGTAAGAAAGAAACAAACAAACAAAAAACAGTCATTAACACAGCCTGGTAAGATAATAATATTGTTCTTCTAACTGTACTATTTGTTGGTTACTTTTTGCAAGATACCTTTTTCTGCCTGTGTTACAGATGTGTAACACGTGTCACAGAGTGCCTTAATATACAACTGTATCCCACACATGGCAATGGTTCTCTTTATGCCAAATCCAAGAAAGACTGAAACCAAGGAGGATGTTCCATGAGATCTGTAGCTGTCACACCGCAGTCCTATCTGGAACAGGGAGAATGTGGAGAGGTCTGTCCCCTCTCTGATCCTTACTGTTCATTTCAACATCCACATCACCGACTGAGTTACGCTAATACAACTGCTCACACACTTACACCAGGAGCAGCTATGAATAACCTGGGCCTCCTCCCTGCCACCACTCCAGGCAAAAAAAGTCATAGTTTCATCCATAGCACAAATTTCTCCCCTGGCTTATCATGCTGCGATGGAAACTATCTGTAACTAAAAGAAGCATCTATAAAACTACTGTTTATGGTTGCTCCTTTTTCTGTTCATTCCCACTCTTAAGCTGTAACACAGAAATCCCAGCTACGGCAGGAAAACTGTTTATACAGCAAACCCAATTGGGGAATGGATTCACATGAAAATTAACCCAATAGGAACACTAGTTTTTCTGCACCTCTCTCCCCCGCAAAAAATAAATGGGTCAGCTCTTCCATCTGATTCAGTTCATGATCATGCAAACAGCACCAGCACAATGAAGCAAGGCTGCAGGCAATGGCAGAAATGAGTGACAAACGTCTGAATGCACAAGTACATACTTTATCTGTATAACCAGCCATGTGTAAAATCAATCTTTAAGTATATCACAGTAAATCAACAACAGACCACAATGTGCCACAGGAAGTAGAAAAAAATATACTGCATACAAATTACATACCCCTTTCAAATAGAAACAAATTTTACCTGTCAAAGGCTGAGACTGTACTGATAGACAGCAACAAATAGAACAAACTTTGAGCTGGGTATGCTAGTGCCTTATACTGCTCAAGCAGGTTGGAAACTGTGGAAAGCTGATTTCCTGCCAAAATGTAGATAACAATAATGTTCCACACAGCGTAGCCAGCAAGGAAACCATGGGTAAAGAGTCCGATCACCCTGAATAGAGAAAAGAACATTAGAAAAGTTTAACATCTTGAATTAGTGAGGAAATACAGACAGAAAAGGCCTGTGAATCCATCTGTTCAACCCTGCTGCTGTGACAGGATTCCAGCCTTTCACATGTTGTTTCTGATTGTTTTTTCTGATTTAGTTCTAAAAATTCTAACCAACGCACTTCTGCTTTCTCCCTTGACAGACTACCAGAACCTGAGCACTTTACAAACAAAATCAAGATGTTTTGCCTGATCCTGTCACCACTTCATTACTGCTACTGCTTTCACTCACTGCCTGTAGCTTCCCATGACCGCTGCCCCTTACACTTACACAATGCTCTTAAACTTGTCCTCAGGATAGTCTTTTTATGATTTTCTGTGCAAAGAAAAAACTGAGAATGAAGCGCAGGCTTCAGATAAAGTACACCAGAGAAGAAAATGGCTGTCATCTTCCCATTCTGTATCACAACACAACCACATATTAATAATAAAACCCAAAAATGGCTATTGGGTGCAAGCTTATGCCCAGGTCCATTTTCATTCCTCCCTCTTTCTCACCAACTAGGATTTTTCTTTGAGAACTATCTGAATTCAGGTATTTCTATTCTGGTCATACAGCTGACGGGCAAATCTCATTTTGTAACACTTTTCTGCAGATCTCTAGTATTTTTGTTATCTGATCAATCTCTTGCTATTCAGATTTTGTCTGAATCTTTGCAATATGACTTCATAAGTTATTATTTTTGTTAAGTTGCATTTTAAGTTGCACTGTGATGTCTACACTAGAAATAGATACTCTTGACAACAAATACCAAAAGCTAGAGGACTGAGAAACTCTATACCTGTTATATCCCAAACCATCATCTATTAGGAATTCCAAAAGAAATAAAGATACACCACAATGATAAAGAAAAGGTACTTTCAGGGAGAAAAGGAGGAAAAGAACCCTCCCAAACCAACCCCACAAAAAAAACCAAAAACCAAAAACAACAACCCTGATTTCTGCTTATTTACATCAAAACACTTGTCCTTCACCTGAAACTTCGGTGCACTGAGAGGGCAACATCTCTGGTAGTCCATGAAGCCTTCACATCCATAAGTACATTGATATTTTCAGTGGTTTTAATCAATTCTGCACGGTCAGCTGCCTGAAAACGCCCTGAAAGGATGAGGAAATTAGTTTTATAGAGAGTACTGTTACCTTCCATCATGATTTCTACATTGTTATTAGTGTTAAAAAGCCATAAGCATCAGAAGTTCCATTACAAAGTTTCTTCTCCTTACTTCCTGCCCTTTACCAGCTTACATTCACACTAGGATGCTTCTGTCGGTGGGATGCATTCTGGTGGGTCAGGCTATTTAAGAATGTGCAAAGCACTTTGGGCAATTACTCACTGTTCCCTGGTATAAAAAAACCCAATCAACCAACCAAATCCAAACCACAAAAATCCAACCAAAAAACTTCCACCTGAAAGACTTTTTTGCAATACAATAAATTATACTTTCTTCTCAAGGTACTAAGACAGGATGAGGTCAAATAAGCTCAGCTGAGTATTATCAGTCTTTTTCACCCACACCAGGGAATTAAAAAATTCAATCAAACATGCCAGCACAGCATTCACTGTTGAAAAATTATCATGCATATTTATTTCCAAATAATTTTTGTTCTGGAAAGCTTTCTTAAAAATACTTCCCAAAACTGCAGTAGTTGGGTTTTAAATACAGTAATGCTTCCTTTAATTGCACGACTGTCCTTATATTACTTAAATCACAAGATGTACTTACGATTTTTTTCAACAAACACTTTGCTCACAGGCTGGCTAACTCCAGTGGGAGCAGCAAACACAGGCTGCTGATCAGGGCTCCTGCTGTGCTCATCTTCAATGATGTCTTCCTCCTCCACTTCCAGCTCATTGGAACAATGCATTTCAGCTGGCCGAGGTTTCCTAACATCACAGAACATACAATGGGGTAGAGAAAGAATAGGAAGTAAACCATAAAACCTGAGGGCTCCTACGAATATGGCTAACTTGACTTCTGAGAACTGATTAGGCTTTTGACCTGTGTAGTATTACCCCCATTTATAATGTTAAGGACTAAATTTCTCATGGAGTTAACTAACCACATAAAGCCAATCCTTGATTATAAGTTGGGTTTTTTTCCTCTTTTCCAATAGCTTCATATGTCAAAACAATAAGGTGGGAAGAAATACACACCAAGAGATTAATAATTAGAAAATAAAAACCCACTACAAGCTAAGTACAAGGCCAAGAAAGTTGATGGTTTTGGTAGAAAAGTGACTAAAATGATTTAAAGGTATAGTTCTTGGAAAAAAGGCAAATAATAAGGATGAAAAAGTGATTAAGTTTCTCATAAAATTAAGAAAAAGATCTTAAGAATGAAAGAAAGCAGTTACACATTCTAATTTTTTCATGTAGGTGACTGAAATATTAGGCTTATGTAGATGTATTCAGACCTTTAATGCATACAGGTATTCATAAAACAAAAAGAAAGTAAGATCTTAACCCTGCAAAGAACTGCACACATGCTACTTATTGCACAGGCTGAGTGGTATCATGGGCTTCAAGATTTTACATTTTTGTAACGTGACAATGTAAAATGCTACTCAGCCACTTTTCGCTATCACAATTACTCCAACTTATGAGCTATACTGGTTTTGTCTCACTTTGTTCTTTTTCTCTGTCTGCGGACCACTGTTTCTTCAGTCTCAGGGACATCCATGCCATTTCCATTCTGAAATAGGGATGCAACATTTTGCTGGGTAAAAGAGGTCTCAGAATCTGAAGATTTAAAATAAACCACATGACAGTTTCGCAGCTTTCATAAAAGTGGAAATACATTCACTTCCATACATAAATATTTATTACATAAAAACAGTAGGAAAAAGGTTATCATCTGTTGAGCTTCGAATAATATAAAGGATCTACTTTATCACTTCCAAAACTGTATTGCCATTATTTTCACGAGGTTTTGTACCCTATGGAATCTGAAATCAGAAACTGAAACTCTAAGCTACTGTTCACTCGGAGATTACTTTCAGCTCTTATAAGCACAAAAGCACATGAAATGTTTTAAGCCAAAATACAAGCTGGCCAATCATATTTCTGTGTTAACAAAGTTTATTCAGTGCTCTTTCCAATCTACAATTCTTTCACATACCAATAGGTACTTTCTTCTTCTTGCGTTTCCTCTGAGGAGGAACATCCTGAGGTTCAGGAGTTAGGGGCTCACTGCTTTCAGACTGTCGACGAACTGCTGCTTGGACAATGCCATCTGAAAACCAGATGAAAAGCACCAGCAATCTTAATTCAGAGCCACCAAGAAACAGGCAAGAGAAAGCTGTCTTTTGCTGCATTGTGCAGAATGTCTGTATTTGCCTGGCTTACAGCTGAGATGAAAATGCATTTGCTTGGAAATGTAACAGTTGAGAAGCCAATGTGATAAGTAAGAATACACAAAGGTGATAGCTGACAACCCTCCTTTCATCCTGACAGTTTCATGCCCAGGAGGAAATCTGAGTATCCAAGAAATAGCCAAATTCCTGTTTGGACATACAACAGACAAGCAATTGAAAGGAATCTACCATAGGAAAGAACTATACCTCTATGTTTTTCCCTTCTACATGCAGTGATCAGAATGCAAGGGACAAGAAAAATTAAAAAATATTACAAGCTAATTCAGACAGACACATGTTAAGGCAAAATAGTGGCATATCAAAGGGAAATTAAAATGCTAAACATACACCACAAGAATAAAGGAGAAGCAGAAAAAAAACAACACTGAAGGATGTTTACTCCAGTTGGAGAGGAACTATAATGCTTTGGAGGAACTACATTTCTGTGAGAGGTTAACATGAATTCATCAAATATTCTAGCAGCAGTGGCATCAGTTTGCATGATCATTAGTAGAAAGCCAAAGTTACTTCTCCATTTTACATCACATCTGGTTTTTTTTTATAGCTCAGGTATTTCAGTTTTTATGTCAACTGTATCTATCTGTTTTCACATCAAGTGCATGTTTTCCCACCTTTCCTAATGCTTTGCTGAGCTAAAATGCAAAACTAACAAGCAAAGTAATGGCCAAAGCCAAGGCATTCTTTGCAACATCATTTAGCTCACTGAAAACAACAGTAAGCAAAATTGCTCCTTGGGAAGCCCTACCAGCAACAGCTCTACTTGTTGCGTTTAAAGTTCTTTACAGGTACACCTCAACTGTACACACTTTTATGCAAATAAAGGAGATTTACTCAGCAAACGATCATAGGGACCCAAGTCAAGTGATTTACAGAAACCCACTAGATTCTATCAACACATTCTGCTTTATCAAAATAGATCCGGCTTGCAGTCTTACTTAAAACAATATGTTGGTTCTGCAGATCTGCTTCTTGTAAAAATACAAAGCTCTAGTACCAGTCATCTTTTAGGCTCTTAACTTTTCAACGATAATGAGATGCTTAACTTGCGAATTTACATGGCCAAGGACTGAAATTGAGCCAATTTGTTAAATGACTTTTATCTTAGTTCATTCACAAATTCAAGCACTTAACACACTCAACATAACAAGCAGCTTACAGCTGGACATGACCGTTTAATGAAGTATCCAAGGATACAGGACCCAAAAGGCACTGGGACAACTCTGGATAATTTCCTTTAGAAAGGAAAAAAAAGCAGGAATACAGAAACTTTTTCAGTTCAGTATCAAGACATGCTGTATTAGCAGTAGTGGGAATGGACCTAGAGAGAAAAAGCAGAGGATGGAACAATTTAGTTCCGTCAGCGCGACAGACTGGTTCTAAAATGACACTGCTTTGGGGAAAAAGACTGCAGTCGTTCAATATAAAATAAATTATGATAAATTAGTTGAGAACACTACTCAAAAATGCAGCACAAGACTGAAAACCATGTATCTGTCAGGAGCCTGGCTACTGCACAGGTCTGACCCAGTTTTCAGTCTTGACAGGACCTTACCTAATGGAGTCTTTCCTTTGGGTTTCCTTTTTTTGGGACGACTGAGTGGAATTTCATCTGCAGAACATAAAATAGAATTGTAAGTCCACAGCATGTAAAAGCCTCAATTTCCTTTTTGTAACAGCTATTCTATTGCTAGTTAAGAAAAGGGTTCCTTTTTGCAAGTGAAGACATCCCTCACCTTTTACAGGTAAAAAGACAGTTCAGTTCAAGCAAACAGGAAGAGCACAGAAGATGGCAGGAAAGCAGGATAAGAAATCTGTCTTATGTGCAACAGTGGCTAAACACGCACATGTACATGTGTTAAGTGAAAAACGTCCTGAATAATGCTCTGAAGAATAAACTTCTTGTTAGAGCACAGTGACAACATTCAGTATGGAAACAGCAAAGAGAACAAAGAAAAACAACAGACAGTTCTAGCAACTGCAGGTATCTATGCAGTTTAAATAACCAACCTGCAATCGGGAAAGGTGTAAGGCTCTATCTTTAAAGAGAGGATGAAGTGACACCAAAAGGAATTACCAATGTTTATAATTCTCTTTAATGCCAGGATAACTCACCTTGGTTTCCACTTCACATTTAAGGAGAAAAGGTGTTGGAGAGCAGTGTAAAAGGAACAAAGATGAGAAGAAAGTTAATTTGCAATCAATTACAATTCATAACAGTGAAATTCACACTGCTGCTTTTGTAATTCATTTCCTTATCCCCATTCCTTCTCTTTATGTGCAGTTGTGTACAACAGGGTTAAGGGTACAAAGCAACCGTAAGACTCAACACTTCATCCATGAGTATGCACCATTTCTTGATTGGCAACTGTGGATCAGATTAAAAGCTTTAATCACCTGGCTAATTAAAACTTGTCTTACTGCCTGATATGTAACAAACCAACAAAAGTTATGACACATTTGAGCACATACATTACTAAAAAGACAGTATTTTTATATGTCATGAATCATGAATGTCACATTTGCTTTTAGGTACTCTGAAGGAATTTTGAAGTACCATGTCATAAAAGCTATATAATTGTCTTGCCTTCCACACACGAAAAAAAAAACCACCAAATTTTTCCCTATACTATGTCTAACTAGTAGACATTATACCCCTATTCAAAAATATCTAGTCTAATTACAGAAATTCCTGTTCTGAAGCATTTGTGATTCTAAGAAACTAAAGGACATGAAACAGAACAAAAGGGAGTGAAGAAAACATTAAAAAGAACATCAATAAAGCTAAAGTAGAGGTTAATAAAACTGAAGGAGTTACTTGTCTGAAACTTCTGAAAGGGTTTTATCTCTCAGAGTATTAAAACTGAGGTAATACAGTAAAATTTCTTGGCCTCTATAAAACTTTTAAATGTTTTGTATTCCTTGTACGGGCTCTGGGACAACAAATTAGCAAGAAAAGCAATTCTTGTTAAAGCCGTTATGACTACTCAGGTGTTTGTTGAACATATTTCTCTTAAACTCACTGCTTTTATAAACACTGTGGTACAGAGCTATGATCAATTCCACAGAATGAACTGGTCTTACCTTGGCACTGGAGGGAGGGCACGAGGTGGGCACTGAAAGACAAGAGAGACACGAAAGTCAACTTCTGTCAGTGTGAAACCATCTCTGGTAAAACAGCTATTTCCAGATACAGTCAGAATGCATGAAGTATGCTTTGCTTTGTATGCTTCTTAAATAGCTAGAGACTCCTGATGGAGGTGTTACATAAAAGTAATCTGTAAAAGAAGCAGGAATAACACACTTTTGCAGGAGTTCTGACTGGCACTGCATTAGGGACGCGTACCTAACAGCTGTGTGTGAGGCATAGCTTGCATTTCAATTTCACTTGCATGATTTTTACTTTTCTTGCAAGGTACTGCGTTCCTTGGGAAAGCTTATTAGTCATTCTATTTAAACACCAAAATACTACAATAATTTATGCATTCAAAGATACTTGCATGGTATACAGCATGAGCTGAGTATTTTCTACTAAGTTGTAAATCCAGAAGAATAGTAAAAACAATAAAAGGAAATAAGCTTATTTATGAAAAATACTTTAAAATATTATAAAAACATTAATTTAATATAATTTTGAAAATTGTTACCAGGTCAAATACAATTAAAATCTAAGTATCTCCTGTTAACAATCTGAAACTGAGCTCTTGCACCTTCTCTCATCTAGAAAAACGCAGTTTACTTTCAGATTTTGTATTCTATCATTGTATTGAAAAAGTATGCATGAATAAATATTACCAAGCTCAAAAAATTAATTTGATATTAGAAATAATAAAGGCCACCAGACTGGAAAGACTCAAAGATCTGCAAACTTACCACTTGTTTCTTTCCCATACCATTTGAAGCTGTTCTCTGAAAGAGGCACTGTGAACCTGTCTATACTCCCTCACGCTGCTCACTGAACCTCAGCTAATTCTGAACTAAAAATAAGCTTCTAGCAGCCAGGATTAGCTGGACGTGACCTTCCTGCCCATGGGTTAGGGCCCAGTACTATACCCATTTGAAACAGCAGTTTGTTCTGTAGTAGTAAACATTAATTGCACTAAAAAGTCCGTAACTCTGTGTGCTGGTACAGGTTCCACTTAAGTTTGTTCGTCCAAAATGAATGAGACACCTCATGCAAGGAAGGGTTTGCAGGATTAGGCCTCAAACCTTTCAGCTGTATTTTGACCATGCTGCACTGACAGAAGTGCTGTTTTATACAGGTAGAGAAGAATACACCCTGAGCAGCATTCAGCAAACTGCTTGGGACTGGCCACACCATACTGGTGCACCACAAGGGAGAAAGCATCGATAAAGGTCAGAGCTTATTACTTTTATTGTTTCCTACATTCCTGTGGCAATAATTATTAAATGCTTAGGATAGCTAGTATTTTTTAAAAATAAAATCTAAAAACAAACAGAAAAATCCCTAACCCCAAAACCTTTTACAGCAGCATTCACTGCCTTCCCAGTAGTATGTCTGTTCTGTAGTGCCTATTTTGTTACTTTCTACAAAACAACTGAAAAGTGAAATAATTTCTGTATTGTTTACTCCTTGCAACCAATTAAATCACATGCAAGCAGGCAGAGATGAATACTCCTGAGTTGCATCTCTATGGCTGTACCCAGCTATGCCATACAGGTATCAGCTTTGCTCTATTGGTTTCCAGTTTCTCAGAGGCTGAAGGAACTTACTCCAAGCTCTATAGAAAGGGTGAGCGTGGGCACAGGTTTCCAGGGACATTCTGTCACTGACAGAAGAGCTGCTAAGTGTTAACATAGCCATAGCCTGAAGCCAAGAGACTCACGTAAACCAGGGAGCTGCTGCCTCAGTGAACCCCCGTGTTTGTGCGCCTAAGCCAGGCCCCAGGCCGGTGGGATACACCTGGGAACTCTGACTCAGGAGCAAAAAAACAATCTGCCCAGCCTCCCAGGTGTCAATTCAGGGATGCTGAGCAGAAAACGCCTTCACTCCTAAGGGCGGCTCGATGGAACAGCAGCAAACACATGTATTTATTCCCCCAAGCGCGGCGGGCAAAGCTGCCACCCACGGCATCTCGGAGGTGGTACCGAGGGGGCACTAGTACACGAACTCTTAAGGTTTAAAAACACCTATCTTCATAGGTTTAAAGCTTTGCGTAAGTATCTTCTTACGAGAGCTATACGTAGATGAAAATATGAAAACAATGAGGCAATGCTTGCACCCCCAGCACAGGATGAGCAGGAACGTGGCGCCTGGGGCCGGCTACTCC